AGTGCCAGGGAGCGCGATCGTGTTCCTCCTGTCTTTTACCAAAAGTGCTAGTAGTTCACTCTTTATTGACAGATGGCACCTAAGTGCAGATAGTTCCTCCTTTCTCTTGTGTTTGGCATTACCTTTTCCTCAAAACCGTAAGTTGGGGAACATAACACTCTTACTTTCCTCTGAGAATTTAATTTCTGATATCACTCTTTCACCCGAGAGCTATTCCCTATTTCTATTTGCTGACTTTTTCTCCCTGGTGTTGACAAAGCTCTCCATCAAACTGAGTCCACAAGCCACTCGGTGAATCGGAGTACAAACGTGAAGTGAGCCCTAACACGCTCGGCATTGAGGCGGTCTTCTTAAAATGCTGGGCCTCAGCAGTGCATCCGGGCAGAGCCCTGCCAGGGAAAGCAGGTCCTGCTGCCAAGAAAAGCAAAGGGAGACCACAAATTGCTACCAAACCACTGCAAAATGTTCTCCTCTCTCCAAGAGCCCTGAAAAGATAAACGTCCCCAAGCCCTGGAGATCCAAAGTATTTCACTCAAAATGTTCACAGGATACTGAAGGAGAAAAACTAAGGCAGGAGTGAAGATGCATGTGTCTCACTTCTTTGCGTCTTACATTGGCTGTCAGCTTTCCTCTTTTAATTCACCTTCACTTCAGATAATTCTCAGTTAGAATTCCATGCCCTTGTTTGAGTGCAATGAGGCCCAAGGTTTTCATTCATATCCAGGTTAGAAGCAAAAAAGACCCAAAGTCATAGCTAAAGGCTGTATCTGATGCGTCGATGACCTCACTGATAATTCCTAGTGCAAATGTAGGAATTCCTGGGCTTTGGTAAGTACAGTATGGTCCTGGCTGTGCCCTCTCGCCTTGTTCTCCCAGCTTCTCAAGTCACCATGCACCATGGGAGTCCATTTCCAGCCTCACATCACACCACTCTCCTCCTCACACTTTCCCTCCTGGTTTCTTTCCCTCCTGCTTCCTCAAACATGCCAGGAGCCCCCTATTCGCAACATCTTGCACATAATCTTCTCTCTGCCTGAAATGACTACTCTCCATCTAGTAGTCAACTCCTTCTTAACTTGGCCATCACTTCCTCAGGGGTGCTAACCTTTGACCTCATCCCTTCCAGATTAAATCTGTTACCCATATTGTACAGTCTCACAGCATGCTGTAATTTCCTTACTGGTGCTTATCATGGTTTCTAATTATGCATGTATTTCTAGGATTATGAGACTGAGGACAAGCACCAAGCCTATTTTGTCCACCTTTAATCTTTCAGTGCTTGGCACACAGTAAGCACTCTATAAATTTTTGCTGATGAATAAATGACAGACAAGTAGAAAATCAATGAAATCACAATTCTTGATTGAATTCACGGAATAGATTTTTAAAACTAATATTCTGATATAGAAGGTAAATATAGAATTCCCATTAAGTTTTGAGTAGGTGGCATATTTGACAGTGTGAGAATTCTTTTTTTTTTAGTCTTTATTTTAATTTTTTAAAATGTGGTTTTTAAAATTGATTTCAGAGAAGAAGGGAGAGGGAGAGGGAGATAGAAACATTAATGATGAGAGTCATGATCAGCTGCCTCCTGCATGCCCCCTACTGGCGATTGAGCCGGCAACCCGAGCATGTGCCCTGACCTCCTGGTTCATGAGTCGATGCTCAACCAGAGCCACACAGCCAGGCAACAGCATGAAAATTCTTAAATCTCAAAGAACTGTAAAGATTCATAGTCAAACCCCATACCTACAACTCCAGAAGACAATGTGTATTATACCAGAAAGAAGAGGAGGAAAGGGTAAGATGACGACAAATTTTGTACTCATTTAGCTGAG